GTCTTTTGAGGGGAGGATTGCTCTGCACTGTAAATAAATACTGCAGGCCATTCCCAGCTGGAGGCTCTGGCTCCTTCTGGGTGCTCTGAGTCACCTTGCCCGTGAGTATTTACTCTGCGTGGGGCTCAGCTTAGACCCGGAGCCATCGTGCAGGTGCAGCTTGGAGCAGAGTGGGTTGTGGCTGTGCTGCTGGCCTCAGCAATGTGCCTTTGTGGGGGTGACAGGTCCTGGCCGCAGCAACTCACCCTGGGCTCTGGACAGGAGAGAAGGGCCAGCTTGCATGTGCATCTCTGGGCCTGCATGCCCTCTCCCCGGAGGGCAGGGCACAGCCGGGGGCACGTGGCCCTGTCCTCCTCGTATGCACTACAGTGAGCCCTCTGCCCTCAGTGCCTCCTCGCTGGGCTGCCTGGCAGATTTTCAGCCTGACTGGCCCTGCCCCGGCGGCTGCCCTTGCACAGGTGAGGTGGTGAGATAGATGCCCAGGAACACAAAGATGCCCTGGAGAGCTCCTCAGGGGCCCTGTGCTCTGCTCAGCCCCACACTCTCAGCCCTCACACTGCTTCTGGACTCCATACACCCAGGGGAACGTGGCTGGGTCTTTCCTACATCCCCCTGCAGCTCCAGCCAGCGCTTTCTAAATTTCTGTGTCTGATGCAAGGTGGAGAAACAACTCAAATGTCAAAGGGAAGAGCCCGTGGGGCACTGAGCTGCTGGGCAGGTGGCAGGCTCTTCCTCTGAGCACCAGGGTGACCTGCAGGCCATCCTGGGCTGCGGGGGAGCAGCTGTGATGCCTGTACAGGCTCAGCAAGGCTGGGGGAGAAGGGCTGGGGCATGCTTGGTCCTGCATGGGAATTGCTGTGAATGGCTCTGCTACCTAGCCCTGTCCCTGGAGGGAGAGTGAGCAAGTGAGAGAAGCTGCTGAATCCTTAGGGGAAGAAGCAGCTACTGTAACTTTTTTTTTTTTTTTTAAGTTAAAGACAAAAGAAGCCTTGGAGAGAAAAAAAAAAAAAAGAAAAAAAAGAAAATTACTTTATTTTTCTAAGTGTTAAACTCAGTATTTATGTAATTCTTTAAGGAATAAAAGTTTGGCTCCTGTACAGTTTTAATGGGGTTTGTACCAGGGGGATGGGAGAGGGGTGGGTGGGCGGGCCTGGAGGCAGGAAAGGGGCCTTGCTTTTGAGTTTGTATTGTAACCTTGGACATGTTCCCTCAGCATTAGCGTTTAAGCTGCACTCTCCATCCACCAGCATATGCCAGGGATCAAGCTGAACCGAGTGGGATGCTTGTTTCCTACCTACTTGTAACAAGGACTTCATACCCATAATTTTGGGCTTAACGGGCAGAAGTCAAGTGAAGACCAGCAGTGGCTGGCCTCTGGAAGTGGTAAACCCATTCCTCAGAAGCAGGCACTTTGGAGTGTGCCCAGGAGCCAGAGGTGAGCTGGGTTTTCTGATGACCGCCCTGTTCACTTCTGGTCCAGGGACCTGCAGCTGTTCTGTCACTGTCACTGCTCTTGGCACGGAGCAGTGGTGCCTGTGACTGCCTAAGGGATATGGGCGTCCCCACTCCTCCCTGTGGTGAGTGACCAGCAGTGGCTAATCCCTGTTCTCCCTGCTTGCTGTGCAGGCAGCATCTCCTGAACTCCTGGGTGACAATCTGAGCTGTACTTCCCCCTCTACAGCCATTCTGCAGCGCACAGATGGGGATAGGTCTCCAAGCTCCCTGTGCAAAGAATTCCCAGAAGAGCCTTTCATCCCTTGATCTGTTAGCAGCCTGGGAAGGGCTTGTGGGGAGTGGAGTGGCCCATCTGGTGAGGGTGATGTTGCATGCTGCCTCCCCTTAGATTTCTTGCTCTAAGAGTGATGCAAACCCTGCAGCTCAGAGCATGTGGGAGTGCTGAGCCATGTCCCATGGCTCAATGTAGGAAAACTGCTACGTGATGCTTCCAAAACCACATAGGTACCTAGGAGTTCCTCCAGGGAGAAGTGTGGGATCAGAGTTTGCGTTGTCCTTTGCCCCAGCACATCACTGTGGCCTGGCTTTGCTCTGCTTTGCTTCTGCTGGCACTATAGAGCAGAGCTGTTGGGCCAGAACAGCAGGAGAGCCCCTGCTGCTACAGGGTGTGTGACTGCATCCCCTCCCTGGCTCCCCAAAGGCAACTGCTGGTTAAACGCTAATGGTGTATTTTATTTAAGTGCAGACTTGTAAGAACACTTGTGTATCAGGGATGAAATGGCATTTATTGTGTGGTGACATTTTTAGTTCATTTTACTGGTTTGAGGGGTGTGTGTGCGCGCGCGTGTGTGTGTGTGTGTGTACGCATAAGTGTGTGTGGGATTATTTTTTTTTCCCTCCAGTTTCCAGGGTTGTGTTTCTGGAAGGATGTGGAAGTAATCACAGTACTATGTACAGAGCTTTCTTTTGTATTAAAAAAAAATTTACTCTTTCAATAAATGTTATCATTTTGTGCACAGATTTGGGATCTTGACCATGCTTTGCGGGAGGGGATGACGAACACCTTAGGGGCAACAGATGGGGATCGGGGCAGATTCCTGCACCTGCTTGTGTGCTGAGGAGGATGGGGAGCTGTCTGAGCATGACATGGCAAAGAGGGGCTCTTCACAGAAGTTTCTATCCCTACTGCCCCCTGCACAGGTAATTCCTGACCACCTGGACTTGTCCTCTGGAGTCTCAGCCTAATCTGTGGGCCAGAGAGGGCCAGTGCCTGACAGAAATGCTGTGAGGGCTCTTTCCTGAAAGCTCTGGAACAATGTCCCTGGTGAGCAGGGCATTTTGTCAGTCAAGAGAAATAAAAACCAGCAATGAGGAGGAACGGGGAATTTTGGAAAAGAATTGTTCTAGTTCATAGGTGTTAATAGGGAGGAACAGGGAGACTTAAATTCCCTGCAGAAAACTGCTGTGAGAAGATACAATAATATTAAAAATCCAGTCTGGAGAGACATTACTTAAAGTCAGGCAGAGGCCTAGAAGCCAGATCAAGGACACATGGAGGCTCAGTAAAGTGTCCAAAGGAGTGAATAAACCCAGAGGGAGAGGGGCTCATTGCAATCATCAGGGCTGCTGGGGCCAGAGTATGCCAGCTAAAAATGCAGCTGCCAGCACTCCATAGCATCAGGTCCTGGAGCAGATGCCAGTATAGTGTGAGGAAAGCTGAGCACTGATAAAAGTGCAGTTTGGAGAAAACCCCTACCTTAGGTGAGAAGAGGATTGTACAGAAAGTGCTTAGGAGCAAAAGAGAGCTGAAATGGCTCTTTCCCCATTAGGAGGTGAGGAGGTGCCTCACTTCTACAGTACAACCTCACTTCTAGCCCTGTGCCCACACAGCTGTGGCTCGTGGTTCAGCACTACAAACGCCCTTTCTGCACAAGCAATCCCACGTCACCTGTGCACAGGGGCCTGTGTCACCTATGCACCATGGAGCAAGTTACCACAGATACATATCTTTATTTTTAGGGAAAAAGACTTACTAAGTGTGGAGACCATCAGAGCAAAGACATAAGCAGGCCGTGTGAATAGCACAGAAAACCTCTCCTTGTCACAAACAAGATGTCTTGGCAGTGAACGGGGAAGGAAAATGACATATTAATGGAAAACAGAGATTTCAAGAGCATCCATGAGATTCTGGAAAGAAAGTATCATTAGCATCAACAGAGATCACATGTACTAACAGAGAAATCGAGAGTGTGGCTTGGAAACACAAACCTTTACAATCCACCATTGGTGCCATGGGTTTAGAGGATGGTCTCCATAAACTGATGCAGCACTGCAGTGTTTTATCCAGTCTATAATTAATTGCAATTATATTGTTTGGATTAATTGCTGATTGCTATTGCAAAACATGGAAATTGTCTAATCCATTTCATTAGTAGTGAGGGTAGAAATTAGGTTGGGCACATACCAGTTGCTCCAGGATCAAATAAGAAAGCAAAGTTTCATTCAGTTAGCTGATGATTTTAATGATTGTTTATAATTTAAAACAAATCTTATCAGACTGATAGGAACTTGCACCCCAAGGAAGGGCAGTATGGGCACAGGATAAGAATTTAGATTTTATAGCATGGTTATTTCAGATCAGTGTGACACCAGAGCTGGAAGGGAGCTGGAAACAGGCCAAACTTGTGTGCAGCTGGCTTCAACTGGCTCTCCAGCAACACTGAGAACAGGGCAGTCTCAGAGCCCCAGACCTGCCTGGAGCCAGCGCAGCTGTCACTGAAGCCAGCAGGGTGGATGGAGGGTGGGTGCAGGGCCGGAACCACCCCAGGGCCAGAGGCTGACATTGCTGCACTGTAATTCTTGATTAACGGCGCATTTGCAGTAATAATATTAGTGCTGACACGACATGCTTTTAGCCTTCCTGCCACCCATGCTGCCACAGCCCTTGATGAAGACAATTAATCACCAGAGCAATGGTACCAACACACAGCACAGCGTTACCACCTTACCGAAAAGCAGCTCACTCTAGCAGATGCCTTCTTCAGCTTGCAACTTCCATTTGTTCTCGTTTCTGACATTAGCCAGGGGAATCAGAAGATATTCCAATCTTTCCCCTTTGTCCACTGCTCACCATTGTTCCTGCTGTGGGGGGAACAGCAGCTTTGGGACCCATGGCCCAGGTGCCAGCTCAGGCCTGGAACGCCTTTGGGAGGCACGAGCTGTCCTGAGGGACCCTGTGGGGCAGCCAGCGGTGCTCTCGTGGCACATTCCCTAGGGAATCCTGGCGTGCATTAGGAGCTGCATTGCCAGCAGGTCAGGGAGGTGATCCTGTCCCTCTGCTCAGCCTGGTGAGGCCCTGTCTGGAGTGCTGTGCCGAGTTCTGGGATCCTCAGGACAAGAGAGACCTGGAGGTGGTCTCTTCCAACCTGGCCCATCCTGGGATTCTGAGAGACGGCGGGGACACTGCGGAACGCGCAGCTCCCGTCACTCCCGTGTCCCTCGCCGCCTCCCGTAGGGGACGCGGAAGCTGCGCGCTGTTTCCGGCGCCTCCCGGTGGCGCCGGGGCCGCTCCGGGGCCGCGGGCAGGGTCGGAGCGGCGCCTCAAGGGCCGCTTCCTTCCTCCTGCCTCGGGGGTGAGTCGGCTCCCCGCGTACCGGGGCTGGGCCCTGCCCGGCTCGCCGTGGCTCCGAGGGCAGCGGAACAGCGGTGAGCGAAGGGCCCGGCATAGGGGGCGGCTCGCCGGGTTGTCCGGGACGGCCCGAGGGAAAGCCCGTGTGTTCCGAGGCGCGTCGGTGCGAGCTGTCCTCTGTGTGTGTGTGCACTGTACAAACTCATGTAAGGAAAACGATTCTTTGTCTTGTGGTGCGGCATCTAAGCACTGTAACAAAGCACGGGAGAGTAACTTGGTCTTTTTATTACAGTGGCTGCAAGAAGGTTCCCATCTGGCATGCTGCAAATCCCAAGGAAGGCAGCACAATCGAAGGTAAGTGTATATGTCTTGGGAGTTCAGGCTGCTTCTCTCTGCACCTGGAAAGTGTTTTTAATGTGCCTGTCATAGTCTTTGATGGTTTGTATCTTCTTTGGTTAAACATGGATTGACTGTTGCTCTGGTATCTTGCTTCACTGCTTCTCTTGCCAGTGTGTGTGTACGTGGTAGGAACGTTTCCCACTGCCACCTGGCTGAGCTCATTCCTATCAGCCTGATCTGGAATGCTTTGTGAACTCAGTCCCTGGTTTTGTCTGTAGCTGGCTTGCTGGTTGCTGGCACTCAGTCTTGGACAGAAAATTATTTCCATGCTTCTTTTTGCATGGATGAAAGCAGAGAAGCACTGTGTCTTTTTTGTGGTCCCAAGATGCAGAACAGTCAGGTAACAGAGAATAGAAACCTTTTAGTTCTGTGGAATTTGTCCATTGATGAAACATTGTAAAGGCAAGGAATTCTGAGAAGAGGGCAAGGAGAAGAACTGAGAGACTTTCAGGTAGGGAACCTTATCTGATGTGTATGAACTAGATCTGAGAAACTGCTCATTATTTTCTTCAGGGCTGGTGATGTGAAGGTCCCTATGCACGGTGAGAATACCGTGAGCTCTAGGTAAACTCACACTCTGAACAATTATAAATGGTAAATAGCAAGAGGGAAGACAGAAGTGCAAAAGCAGCAACTTGTGAGGGGCGTGTTGTGGACAGTGGCAGGGATGTGAACAGGACTGAAATCTCTCATCATTATTTGCTGTCTTATAAAAGGGCCTATTTTGCCTTCATGTTCTATGTTAGTTTCCTTATTGAGGAGAACCTTCTTCTATGTGTGTCAGTAACGCTTGGAACTGGTTTTGTTTATGAAAAACCGGGTTGTTTTCTTGGAAGGGGAATGTGAGCCTCTGCAGAGTGGGTTTTCCTTCAAAGCTTCATTCTGGCTGTAGGATCTCAGGATCAAAATCTGTGCCACGACCATTTCTACTGTCAGTGCTGGCTCACGCTTTCCCCAGCATGCAGCTCAGAAATAAAAGCTTGACCCTGCTTCCCCTCTGTCTCTGCAGACACATCTGCTGCCATGGTGAATGAGAAGCACAATGGCACCCTGCTTGTGCAGCTGGGGCCCAAACTGCAGGCCCACCCAGAGAAGCTGCTGCGGCAGCGGCGAGGCCACGACGAGCGGCCGGAATACCTGGTCCGGTGGAGCGTTGTTAGCTTGGAAGAGAGAGCGGCGGGAGGCAGCAGTGCCTGCTCTGGAGAGAGCAAGGCAGAGAACATCTCCCTGTGGATGTCTGCAGAAGAGGTGTGCGCCAGCTGCCCGGCGCTGCTGGGCCAGAGGAGGCCGGAGGGGCCGAAAGAGGAGAAGGCGCCCGGTGCCTTGTCCGCGCTCATCCCGCTGGACGAAGCCTCGCTGCTGGAGATGAAGGCCGATGTCAGGAGCCTGGTGCAGCGAGCCGGGCGCCAGGTGGCCGAGGCCGGGACCCCCGAGTGCTCCATCCTGAGCACGGTGCACGTGCTGGGCGCCTACGCCAGCATCGGCTCCCTGGCGGGCGCCTTCAGGGAGGCGGGAGCCCTGGAGCTGCTGACGGCCATGCTGTGCCACCGGGAGAAGCGGATCCGCCGCGGTGCCGGCGAGATGCTGCGCGCTCTGGGCGCTCAGGATGCAGGTGGGGGCTGCTCCTGCTCAGTGCCACGAGGGGTGCTGGGCAGCTGAGGGGTGCCAGGCCTTCGGGAGGGGTGAGATGCCTGGGAAGCAGCATGGCTCAGGGCTTCTTGGCAGAAGGGGAAGAATCAGTCAGGATCTTCCGGACTTTCCTGGTTGCAGTTGTCTGGACTGCTCTTGGAGTTAGAAACTCTTTCTCCTGGCAGGTTTCTGAGCTGGGATGCTGATTAACTCTTAGGAGGACTTAGGCCAAGGAGATTGGCAGAGTGTGGGGTGACTCTGCTCCAAGCTGTCAGTTGGAAAGTCTCTGCCCTGTTCTTGGCAGGGAGCCTTTCCTCGGCCCTGGATAGAGGCTAGTCCTCATTTAAGAGGAGCTGTCATGGCTTGGAAGTGCCTGATGAGGCTTGGGTGCACCTGGAAGGTTGCTGGTTGTGGTGTATCCCACAGGAGATCTGGCTTTCCCTGTCCTAGTGCCTGAGTTTGTGCAGCTCTGAAGTGGGGCAGATGAGGGGCTGATTCAGGTTAAAACTTGACTTCTTTTCTTCCCTGGGACCCTGTTCTGGAATCAGTTATTTGGGCTTGCTGCTTTGTGAGAATCTCTCAGCTTTAGGGGTAGGAAAAAAACACCGTGGAGCAAAATGTTGCCACTCCAGAGGAAGGGACAGAAGGTGGATCAGGTGACACCGAGCAGCAAAGCTGTTCCTTCCCTGCAGCTCTGTGTCTCACAGGGAGGTGGGGTGAGGGCTGTCTTTCTGGGGCCTGAAGAGTTTTTGTTGTTGTTGCAGGAGTCTGGGCCCATGTCCTGCTGTCCCTGAGCCAGCAGGATGGCATTGAGCAGCACATGGACTTTGACAGTCGCTGCACCTTGCTGGAGCTGTTTGCTGAGATCACGTCCTCTGCAGAGCACTGCATGTCCTTCGAGGGGATTCACCTCCCGCAGGTGGTGCCGGACCCGCCAGCAGCCCTGGGGCACGAGGGGCCAGGAGGGGTGGGAGTGGGGGGCCAGGGCTGGCACCCTTGTCTGGGACAAGAGGGGAGTTGAAGGTGGGCAGGTGAGCAGGACTGGCTGTCGGGAGAGCTGGCTCAGGGCCTGGGCCTGGTGAGGGGCTGGGGTGGTGCAGAGGCAGCTGCAGAGCCTGGTCTGCCAGCAGGGAGGGGAGGGTGGGCTCAGAGGTCTCTGCTGCTGCCAGCTGGTCCGGAGCTCTCCCGGGAGCCTGCCTGGGAATGAGCTGGTGGCTCAGAGAGAGCTGGGGGCTGGAGGTGCTCTGCAGGCTGAGTGTGAGAGCTGTGCTTGTTGCAGATCCCTGGGAAGCAGCTGTTTGTCCTGGTGAAGCGCTACCTGTGCGTGACTTCTCTCCTGGACAAGCTGAGCAGTGGCGTGGAGCAGGGAGAGGAGCAGCAGGGCTGTGCTGTGCCCGGCCCTGTCCCTGAGGAGAGGAGCCGTGTGAAGCAGGAGTTTGAGTTCAGCATGGCCATGGCAAACCTCATCTCGGAGCTGGTGCACGTGATGGGCTGGAGCCACAGGCACAAGGCAGAGCCGCTGGGCCAGCGGGACCTGCAGCCTCGCCCTGCCCGCTCCATCTTCCAGCACAGGACCCCGGCCAGCACTGCTGTCCAAAAGCCTGTGTTGCCTTCAAATCCTGGTCCTCAGAAAAAGCAGGGCTGTACCTTCCTGACTGCATCAGACTTCTCTGACAGCAGTGACTACACAGAGTACTTGCGGGCAAACCTGGTGCGTGGCATGAGGGTGCGCTTGCTGGAGGATTGTGGTGACGTTAGAGCTGGGGAGGAAGGCGAGTTTCTCCAGAGCACGAATAACATGCAGACAGTACAGGTAGGTCATGGAGAGACTTCTGGCTGGAATGGCAGATGGGTGTGACCTGGGTGACTGCTGGATTCCTAATGATGCCTTTATGTGCAGGAAGTTGGACAATAGGCGTGGCTTATTATGTATCACTGTCTGCATCTGTCCTAGCAAAACACTCACCTTTCAGAGCTGGGGGGATGCATTGCATGGAACGCTAGTCTGGTTTTGTATGGGTTGTGCCACTAAGATTTCTTAGCCTCTAAAACAGGCCTTACTAAAAAAGTCTGTCCCCGTCTTTCTTACAAGCCCCCTCTAAGCATTGAAAGCCCACTGTAAGGTTTCCCTGGAGCCTTCTCCAGGTTGAACAACCCCACCTCTCTCAGCGCTTTCTCATAGCAGAGGTGTTCCATCCCTCTGACTGTTTTTGTGGCCTTCCTCTTTACCTGCTCCAACAGATCCATGCCTTGTGCTAAAGTCTTCAGAGCTGGATGTAATTCTCCAGGTGGAGTCTCACCAGAGCAGGGCAGAGGGGCAGAATCACCTCCCTTCACCTGCTGGCCACACTGCTTCTGGTGCAGCCCAGGATATGGCTAGCTCTTTGGTCTCTGAGTGCACATTGCCAGATCATGCCCAGATTTTCATCCATCAGTTCTGCAAAGTCCTTCTGTTTTCAGTTCCTTTTTCCTCCAGCCTGGAGTGTACTGGGGTTTGCCACAACCCAGGTGCAGGACCTTGCACTTGGCCTTGTTCATGTGGTTCCCACTTCTTGAGTTCATCCAGGTCCCTTTGGATGCCATCCCATCCCTCAGGCATGTCAACTGCACTGCTCGTCTTGGTGTTGTCAGCAAACCTGCTCAGAGTGCAGTCAATCTCACTGTCACTGATGAAGATACCAGATGGTATTGGTCCCCATACAGGCCTCTGAGGAACACCACTTGTCACTGATCTCCAGCTGGACATTGAGCTGTTGACCTCTGAATATGACCATTCAACCAATTCCTCATGAACTAAATAGTCCATCCGTTGAATCCATGTCTCTCCAATTTGAAGAGAAGGATGTTGTGGGATTGCTGTCAAAGGCCTTAAAGAAGTCCAGAAAGGTGACAGCCATAGCTCTTCCCTTGGCCACTGATGTAGTCACTCCATCATAAGTGGCTAGTAGGTTGTCCAGGCAAGACTCTCCCCTGATTTTCTGGAATCACCTCCCTGTCTTCCATGTACCGCAGTTAAAAGGCTTTTCTAGTTCTGGTCCATGCATTGGTGATGTTTCTATTCAGGCCTCAGCTGAATAACTGCTTTGCATCTTATTTTTTTTCTTATTCTTATAAACCACTTATTTTTAAGTGGTTTAGAAACCTCTTTTATAACCGCCTCCATAAAGATAACTTGCAAAGGAAATGTATTTCATACTGATTCTCTCTTTGTCCTTGTATGTCTTGGCTTCTAATATCTGTGTTTTCCTAAAATTGTGATATCTGTTTCTTATAAAGTTGTACTTGCTTTTACTCTTAATGAACTGGGCACTTGGAAAGAGCACCAAGATCCTTTCATTATTTTCTCCTGTTGCCAGTGACATAAATTTCAAAGGGTTTTCGCTTCAGTGTTGAGCTAAAGTGTAGTGTGTACTTAGCTTCCATTCCCATTGTCCTGTTGGTCCCTTGGGTTCCCTTTTCTGTCTATTTTTCTGTTTAATTTAGTTTTCAGTGTTATTTGTAAGGCTCACACTATTAACAAAACCAGATCTGAATGGCAATTGGGCCAGTCCATCACAACTCTGTCTCTTACCTCGTCTCATCCTTCCTGTGTTGCTCTGATTTCTGCTGCTTTCCTTGCCTTTCCAAAGAAGGATTTTTCTTGGTTGTATCTGTTCCTGCAGCACTATCTTTCCATGACTCCTTTGACATGGCATTTGGTACATAACTAGCTTAGGTCAGAGGTACGTTGAAGACTATTTGGTGTTGTGTGTAGTTTAACTCAACTTCCTTCCATACTGTGCTTTCCCAAAGTCTGTCAGCATCTCAGCTGTCCATCACAGTGGGTTCATAGTAGCACTGGTGTAACTCCAAAAGAGCTCAGTGAAGCAGGCAAACCATATGTTTTTCTGCTGTTTTTTTAAAGCTACTGACATGTTGTACTTGCTGTTGCTGGGTTGTCCTTTTGCTCAGAAGATTAAATGTAACACTATGGTAAGGGAAGCTGTAAAATGTCCTTCTGATTTTTGAGAGGCAACTTGGACAAAGCAGAGGAAACAATATCTGCCTTTGAGACATGCTTATCAAGAGCCCAAAACCTGTTTGAGAGGGTTGATGAATGACCAAGGTTATAAAAGTGCCCTGACGTACTTTATATACAGCTCCTCGAGGTAGTGTTGGTTATGCCCTTTGTCTGCTTTTCCCAAGGCACCTGCAGCTTGGCACTTTTGGAACAGGTGTGATTAACTGGATGCACTCATGCCTCTGCTGCTGTACTGAGATCTGTAGTGGTTGCAGGCAAAGTTAGTGTTTTTTCAAAAATAAAGATCCAGGTGTAACCAAGGCAAGAAGTTAGTAAAGATGATATGCCTCAAAACTGGACAGTGTGAGTGCTGAAATCTGTACAAAAATTGTGTGGTCTTCTACTTCTTTGGGAAATGGGAGGACAAATGTAGCAAGAGAATAGAAAAAGTGAGTAGATCTGAATGTCTGGATTCGTTTCACCCACAGGTTTTACGGCAGTCAACGGGTCGGACCTACTGGGTGCGTTGGCACATACTGGAGATTATTGGCTTTGGGGACAAGTGGGAAGATCCTGCTGCTCAGGACAAGGAATATAGTGTGAGAAAGAGCTTCAGTCTAGACACAGGTGAGATTGTGATGCATGTATGTATCATCTCTTTCTTTCTGATTATCCTGTGGGATAGGAGTAGTGACCTTTTATATCAAAAACACACAGCAAGTAGCAGGCTGGGTTCAGAAAGCACTATTAGTTTTGTGTGAACATGTAAAGCTAGTTAAGGAATTGCATGGCTTGTGATTAAATGGAGTATTTAATGGAGTATTTTTGAACCCTAGACTTCTGTCAAGATGTATAATGAAAGTAATGATATAAAGAGCATAAAATTTTATTTAAACTGCAACTGTCAAAACTTTGTGTTTGAATTAACTGACTGAACTGCCAAAACATGACTTTCTCTAGAAAATCTTAGAATTTCTCTGAGATTAAGCTTTTGGGGGCACTCAAGTCCCCTTAAGTAAGTGATAAGGATTTTTAAAAGCATGAACATAGCAACAATTTGTTTAACTTCATACTGTTGAGCTTTTAACAAGGTGTTAAAGTATTAAAGAACTGTTTTTGTAAGACATCTGCAGCATCTCCTAGAACATTTAACATTGCCCTTGTACTGGGACAAAATAAAAGGCAGAATCCAGACGTCAGATACCCCTTTCTTGTTCAGCATCTGACATGATTCTAGCCAGGGAGACATATTAAAGTAACTCTTTTATCACAGCTGTGGCCTTCTAGAATATCTTTTGTGTAGAGTGGTTTGGATTTACTGGCTGCTAGAGAGAGTGTTGATGAGATCAGCAGCTAATTGCACACTTCGAAACTATTCTTATTTCCAGTTGAAAAGATGGTTTCTTAAATGGCTTCTACCTCTTGTATTTAAAGGCTTAACTTCATGTCAGTGTGCAGTGTCTAACTTAAAACAAACTTAGTTAGATTTCTCCTTTTCATGGTCTTTCTGATTTTGGGAGAAGCAGGAGCTCTGTTTCACTTCTGTGTATAACTCTTTCCAGGCATCATATCCCACTTAGAATATGAATTGAAATGTGGGGTGTGCAGCAGAGGACGGGGGAGTTGG